AAACTGAGGCTACGATTCACACGGGCTCAACAAAACTGGACAGGAAATGTTTGGAAAAACGTTGCCTGGTCTGATGAGTCTTTCAGAGGGTTGGGTCAGAATTTGGCATAAGCAACATGAACGCATGGATTCATCCTGCCTTGTATCAACGGTTCAGCTGGTTCTGCTGGTGTTGTAAAGGTGTGGAAGATATTTTTCCCTCAGCACCAATTGAGCATCGTTTAAACATCACAGCAGACCTGAGTATTGTTGATGACCATCTCCATCTCTTTATGACCACAGTGTTTCCATCTTCTGATGGCCACTTCCAGCAGGATAACACACATGTCACAAAGCTCAACTCATCTCAAACTGGTTTCTTGAACATGACAGTGAGTCACTAAACTCTCCATAGTCACCAGATCTCAATCCAATAGAGCAGCTTTGGGATGTGGAGGAACGGGAGATTCTCATCATGGATGTGCAGCCGACAAATCTGCAGCAACTGAGTGATGCTTTCATGTCAATATTGACTAAAATCTCTGAGGAATGTTTCCAGCATTTTGTTGAATCTCTGCCATGAAGAATAAAGGCAGTTCTGAAGGCAAAAGTGCATCCCACCTGGTACAAGCAAGGTCTACCTAATACGTAAAGTGGCCGGTACATCCATATATTTTTATATATATTTCCAATTATTAAAAATGATATATATATATATTGCTCAAATAGATTTTAAAACATATTTACATGGTCTCAATAAGTTTTAGTTACTTCCCAAACAGCAACATAGTGTCGGCCCAGATCCGGCCCACATCTGGTATGGGTTGAATCCACATGGGTTGTACCAGATCTGTTGCTGTGTTGCTGTTTTACATCAATCCATCCATTAATCAAACCTCTTATCTTTTTTTCTTTTTTGCATATATATATAGCCGTATGGGTAAACAAATGAAGTCTCAGAAAACATCAAAAACAGAAGTGAAACTGTTGACTTGAATGGGGCTTTCTGTTGTGTTACAGTGACTTGCATTAGACGGTACATTATTTTCCTCAGCAAAAACCCCTCAAGCATTTTACAATTTTCTTGATTTTCTACAAAATCATATTTCTTATGAACCACAAGCAAATGTCCCTGCAACTCCAGGTATTAGCTAAGTATCGGTTTATGTTGTTACCACTTTACTAACTATGGTGGAGCTCATTACTGAATAAGAGTTTTTGCAGAAAGTTTAATTTGAAAAAGTTACCTTATTCATACATGCACATAAATGGCATTAGCTATGTAGGGAATAGTGAATAAGTATATATTTGGGCCACAGAAATGGCATCAGTGCATAACCAAACATTTCCCTTTCTTTTTGTGTTCCTAATTCCTTTGGATGGCAAACAAACACCTTAGCCTTTTCTAGTTTAGCATAACGCTAAATGCTAGAAGAAGATATCACGGAATGTCTATTACTAAGGGTAAGTTTACACAAAAACAAAAAACTGAAAAGTTTTTTCCTTTTCTTTTTCCGTGCGACTTCAATGTCAAAATGATCCCCGCTCACAAGGATCCGCGAAAACGACTAAAAACTCTGTATTCTGCTGCCAGGCCAGTACATGGTGATGTCACTTTGTAAAGAAACACTATGCGCCTATAGACTGAACAAGTAATACACACGCGCATGACTTCACCGTTTTTGCGTTTTTGTAGTTTTCACGTAGACAATAGCGGTATCGTCTTCAAAAACGTGCACTTTGAAACCCATTTCACAAGCTTGAGTTTTCAGGACTGTTGTCGTGTAAATGAACGATCAAAACGCATTAAGTTTTTAGTTGAAAACGGTATCGTGTAAACAACCCCTAAGACACTATTAACATTCGAGAGGTCTTATGAAACTATATTGTTGTCACGGTTTGGGTTTTGTGTCTTGTTCCTTGTTCTTGTATGTCATGTGATTCCCTGTTTGCCATGTGTCTTGTCTATTGTTCCCAGGTGTTTCTCGTTAGCCACGCCCCCTTGTTATCTTGTTTGTCCTTGTATTTAAGCCCTGTGTTTCAGTTCAGTCCTTGTGAGTTCTTATGTTGTTATCGTCGATGTTGGTCGTGCTTTCCCTGAGTCCTGTTCATAGCCTGAGTCTTTGTCTAGTTTCCAGTCTGTCTAATAAAGTGTGCTGCATGTGGATCCTGCTTCCTCCTCGTTTCTACCGCATCGTGACAGAAGAACTCACCACACAAGATCCAACAGTATGTTCACTAGTGTCTCTTCCCCAGCCACCGAGCGGGAGAGAGGACATTCCTTTGAGGGGACCCGGTTGGTCAAATTTCGCGGGACCCGTGGAGGCCGCAGTAGAGGAGGTGGTCGAGAAGATTCCCGACACCACTCTACACTCTGGCCTCTCTTTAACCCATGGGTTGGTGATGTCCATTCGCCACTGTTTCCGTCCAGCCCAGAGCCCTCACCGCTGGTTTCGTCCGACCCAGAGCTTCCACCGCTGATCCCGCCCAGCCCGGAGCTTCCTTCGCCGCTAGTCCCGTCCAGCCCAGAGCTTCCTTCGCCGCTGGTCCCGTCCAGCCCAGAGCTTCCTTCGACGCTGGTCCTGTCCAGCCCAGAGCTTCCTTCACCGCTGGCGACGTCCAGTCCCGAGCCTTCTTCACCGTTAGTCCCGGCCGATCGAGAGACTGCTCACGTCACGTCTGCCCAGCCAGAGACTGGTCACGTCTGCCCAGCCAGAGACTGGTCACGTCTGCCCAGCCAGAGACTGTTCACGTCACGTCTGCCCAGCCAGAGACTGTTCACGTCACGTCTGCCCAGCCAGAGACTGTTCACGTCACGTCTGCCCAGCCAGAGACTGTTCACGTCACGTCTGCCCAGCCAGAGACTGTTCACGTCACGTCTGCCCAGCCAGAGACTGTTCACGTCACGTCTGCCCAGCCAGAGACTGTTCACGTCACGTCTTCCCAGTCAGAGACTGTTCACGTCACGTCTTCCCAGTCAGAGACCGTTCACGCCACGTATGTGACCGCAACACTGGCCATTATGGCCACAGCCATGTGGTGTGGGTGGGCTGCGCACACACTGGAGCCAGTGTCTGCTGTTCCTGAGCCGGAGCCAGTGTCTGCTGTTCCTGAGCCGGAGCCAGTGTCTGCTGTTCCTGAGCCTGAGCCGGTGTCTATTTCTGAGCCTGAGCCGGTGTCTGTTCCTGAGCCTGAGCCGGTGTCTGTTCCTGAGCCTGAGCCGGTGTCTGTTCCTGAGCCTGAGCCGGTGTCTGTTCCTGAGCCTGAGCCGGTGTCTGTTCCTGAGCCGGTGACTGCTCCTGCCTATGACCCCGTAACTACACTCAAGAATTTTTTTTGGGGGGGCAGTAGGGCCTCGCCGTGGCAACTTAGGGGCCCACGGCCACCAGAAAGATCCTCACCGCCATGGCCGCCCGAAGGATCTTCACCACCCTGGTCGCCCGAAGGGTCTTCACCGCCCTGGCCGCCCGAAGGGTCTTCACCGCCCTGGCCGCCCGAAAGGTCGTCACCGCCCTGGCCACCCGAAGGGTCTTCTCCACCGTGGCCACCTGAACTGCCTGCTCCACCCTGGTCGCCTGCACAGCCTGGTCTGCCCACGCTCCATGGCCCAGGTCCGCCATGACTATGTCCTGGTCCCGTTCCCCTGTGCGGGCCTGGCCCTCCATCCCTCCCCCGGGATCACCTCCGCGTCACCACCCTCCTGAACTATTTTTTTTTTTTTTTGATGGGCGTCGGGAGCCGCCCATAGGGGGGGTCTGCTATCTCACGGTTTGGGTTTTGTGTCTTGTTCCTTGTTCTTGTATGTCATGTGATTCCCTGTTTGCCATGTGTCTTGTCTATTGTTCCCAGGTGTTTCTCGTTAGCCACGCCCCCTTGTTATCTCGTTTAGCTTGTTTGTCCTTGTATTTAAGCCCTGTGTTTCAGTTCAGTCCTTGTGAGTTCTTATGTTGTTATCGTCGATGTTGGTCGTGCTTTCCCTGAGTCCTGTTCATAGCCTGAGTCTTTGTCTAGTTTCCAGTCTGTCTAATAAAGTGTGCTGCATGTGGATCCTGCTTCCTCCTCGTTTCTACCGCATCGTGACAATTGTGGGCCCTTTTTCATCTAATTAAGAAATTTTTGACGTGCCCTAGTGAAAAATAAATATACTAAAATGTATTTGAAATACATTTATTTTATGCTAAGTATACTACAAATACATTTAAATATTTATGTAGGCCTACTGAATATAAAAACCTTGCAATTGTACTTTTAGTGTACTAAACTGATATAATTAGTCTGCTAAATTGGAACAACTAATTTTGTTCTTAATGCACTTTAGTTATCCAGAAATAGTGCTGAGGTCCAACTAAAGATATACTTAAGTATATTTGATTGCGCTAAAGTGGACTATTTTAAGTATACTTTAGGTACAATTTAAATATCTTGCATTTAAAGACTGATATTATACAGTGATCATACTATCCTTACTAATAGTGATATTAAAACTCATTTTAGGTTTAATATTAATAAATGTCCATTCTGCAATAAAGAAGAACTCCAAATAAGGTTTAATTATAATATTTATATCAGTAAGTCTCAAGCGATATGTCAGTAAATATGTTAATGGATTTGTAGTATACTTAGTAATAGTATGAAATAAATGTATTTTAAACACATTTTGGTAGGTTTTTTTTCACTAGAGTGGTTATGTGTTACATTGTGGCCATCAGTTCAGGTGACTTTATTTCCTAAAGTACACCACATGGTTTGTGAACAGCCATGGTTTGTTTTATAAATACAAACACAGAAGCTTGTAAAAAAAGATCTGATGTAAAAGTCAGCATTTGCTTATCTGTCCATGAACTTTCCAGTCTGATTTGCATCTGCACAGACCTGCTGTAGCTGGTTTCATAGACAGAAACACCATTGCGCCTGTCTCAGCTATAGCGTCACCCCAAAAACTTCCTCTCTCTTTTTTTTCTTTTGTGGTTAGGTGATTCTATGCTGATGACGCCAATACTGCATAAAAAGGGTTGTGAGAACAGCCCGCTCTTATTAACTGAAATAACTGAAGCACAACAGCACAGCAACACGTATCAGCACCAGAAAAGTTTTTGTTAAGATGCCAACCATATTGTCATCTTCAACTGAAATAAAAAACATGAACCAGGAGGATAAAACCGTCAATCCCCGGTGAGTGGTGTTTGTTGTACTTTTAAAATGTATGTAAAAACAGAATATATCATAGAATTGGAGCATTTGTCTTAGAAATTCAACTAAACTAATTCTCACTCCTCAGGAGACTAGACAAGTGGAGGTTTCGTTGTCCATTGACAGACAAGTAAGCTACTTTGACTTTACTTTTTTCTTGTGAAATATATAATCACAGTTGTAATCAACTATTGTTGATTGCGTTTGAATGTACACTAATTATGATTTATTCAAACAGACTGAACCCTGGTGAGACCCTGCTGTGGTCCCAGTCATTGGAAAACCTCCTTAGATCCAAATGTAAGTGGCATATGCATGTATTAATTCTCATACTGGTATTCTTATAGTTCATATTAATGAATGTATCAAATCTAATACGCTGGACATTGTGCACACACGTCTGTGAATTTTATATTCACAAGAACATTTCATCACAGCATTCAAAACCACTTCTTTTGCATTGTGGATTTAGTTGATGTCATGTAGGACAAGGCAAATGTACACGAACAAAACCTGCACTGTTTACTAGATGGTCAGATAGCTGGATCAAGGAACTGACTATATGTATGCAAAGCAACAGAGAAAAGCAGTTTTAGTTATACAAAAGTTATAAAACGTAAGCTACACATGGAAATTTACAATGTAAGGATATAATTGCAATTGGGAAAAAAAAAAATTATATATTAAATTTTTTCATATACAAGTCTTGTTTGCCTTTTTCCATTTATATATATATATACTACCATAGTTTGCGTTATTAAGATTTTTTTCAAGAAATTACTACTTTTATTTAGCAAGGACACATTAAATTTATCAAAAGTGATAGTAAAGACATTTCAAGTGTTACAAAATGTTTCTGTTTCAAATAAATGCCATTCTTTTTAACTTTTTAGCCATCAAAAACCATAAACCCTATAGCATATTCAAATGATTTCTGAAGGATCATGTGACACTGAAGACTGGAGTAATGATGCTGAAAATTCAGCTTTGCATCACAGGAATAAATTACATTTTAAGATATAATAAAATTGAAATCAGTTATTTTAAATGGAAATATATTTCACAATATTACTGTATTTCTGATCAAATAAATGTAGCATTGGTGAGCATAAGAGACTTCTTTCAAAAAATAGTTCAATGACATTGATATATTACAATGTCCAAATAGTTTTTATAAAACTAAAGCTGCTTCGTATATTAGAAACCACTTATGCATACATACATCTTTTTTTTTTCTTTTTCTTTTTTGGCTAGAGAGAGCAAAAAAAATCTTAAAACCATAGAATTTATTTTAATATCAAGCCAAGATTAATATTACAAAGAATGATCACCTTGGCACCAGCTGGTTGAAAGTCATTTAAAAAATTGCTCGTAAAAGCATTTGCTCTGAGAAAAGCACATTTTTTTGCAGCTGCCACTTGATATATGTTATACTCATATTTTGTATGTAATACACTTGCATTGAGCCACAGATTAACCCTGCGGTTTGTTCTTGTAGATGGCATGGCAACATTCCACACTTTCCTCAAGTCCGAGTTCAGCGATGAGAACATTGAATTTTGGCTGGTTTGTGAAGACTACAAAAAAATCAAGAGTTCGTCCAGGCTATCCTCGAGGGCTAACAAGATATTTGAGCATTTCATCAAGGCAGAAGCTCCCAAAGAGGTAAGCACACTACCACAGTCTGAAGATCTCTATGTGGTTTTATTAAGCGATGGAGCGATCGATCAACGTCAATATGCTTCTCACTGCTTCTCCGTCAATCTCTCCTCAGATAAACATCGACCACGTCACGAGAGACCTTATCAAGCAGAACGTCCAAGCTCCAACTAGAGTGTGTTTCGATGAGGCTCAGAGGATTGTCTTTGGTCTTATGGAGAGGGATTCCTATCCCAGGTTTCTTCGCTCGGACATGTACAGATCCCTTCTGGAATCAGTCTCGCATAGGATAAAGGTCTGAGAACATTGTAAATGAAGGACTGTAGGACTTCAAACACATCTTTGGGACTGTTGGTGCAATGGACAAGATGGCCGTGGCACAATCAGGCTTTGTCGATATGTAGGCCTGGACTCAGGTTGCACTGAACATTGCGATCCACATAAAAGCTTGAATAAGCTACTGTTTATATATGTGCCGTGTTACACTGCTCTATTGTTCCACACGGCTGTGGGATACACAAAGACAAATGAGCCTTCTGTGAAGCTCACCTGTGATGAACCACAGGAGATCTGAAACGTGCTGCAACCACAGGAACGCCATATGGACCTTATTTAACTTTCATTATTTTCAATTCTGGATGAGTGTCATATCTGGTTGGCATGAGATGACTTGGGAATACTAATGACATAATATGAACAATTTCATGTGACGTGAAATGATTCATGGACACACAATGTACAGAGCAAATGTAAATCCGACTGTTTTTGTGTGCGCAGTGGGGAACAGATGGGATATTCTCACAATAATCTGTATATAACACACCTAACTATTTCAAATTGTCTAGATTTCCTCAGTTGGATATTACTTCATCAGGCCAACAAATATTTAAAAAAAGGCTTGTATTTCCTGGATGTATCACAATACCACTGAATTCTTACTATATAAAAAAAAAAAAAAGTTGGTTGTCCAGGTTGACTGGATGTTAATATTTAAGAGCCAATAAATAACTTAATAAACACAACTGCAAATAGAAAGTTGTATGTAATTGTTATGGGGAAAATTTACATTCAACATTCAAAAATGTATTTAAATGTCACTGCATTAGATTCTAAACCGAGTGACATTTATTTTAAAGGAAGGAGCAAAATGGTAACACTTTATTTTGATAGTCCACTTTAGACATTCTATACATAGCTTTGCAACTCCATGTCAGCTACCAGTCATTAGAGTATTAATAAACTTCTCCTAATATCTGCAGACACTTTATTGTGATGATTTCGCTACAGACGTTCTACTGTTCTACTATGTATTACCATATAATTTACAGTAAAATAACAAATAAAAAGTCACAGTAAAAGGACCTTCCCAGAAGTCCCTGTGCGCATGCGTATTACGTGTTCAGTCTATAGGCGCGTAGTGTTTCTTTACAAAGTGACATCGCCAACTACTGGCCTGGCAGCAGAATACCGCATTTTTTGTCGTTTTCGTGGATCCGTGTGAACGGGGGTCATTTTGACAACGTTGCCGCCTGTACTCGGATTTCGCAAAAGAAAACTTTTACGTTTCTTCTACATCGCTGTTGTGTAAACTTACCCTAAGAGTCTACTAATACTCTCAACCAGGGGGCCGGGGGCCTCAAGATGACTTACAATTATTTAAAATAAGACAAAACAAGTATTAAAATAAGTTAAAACAACAAAAAATATCCAAAAGATTTGATAAAATGTCTAAAGTGGACTATCGAAATATTGTAAACCAAACATATTTCACAAAAATATGTTTTTATGGTCTTAAATGATAAAAAAAAAACTGTTTTATGGAAAAAGTTTCCAAAATGGAAACTTCATGGTTCAGAAAAGTTAGTTCTAAGAAAGATTTGTTGATGTCACTTATGTTTAATATATTGCTCTATATGTTCCAAACAAATCAGACATTCAATGCAAAGTTCTAGGGACTTTTCTTTACAATTAAAAATGTCATCTGAATTATAAGACTCAGATGTAGATATAAGAAATTGATATTGGATATCCCCTTCAGCATGCTGCTTTCTGTTTCATGACCGAAAGCTTGGGGGGTTGGGTAACATCACATGGTGTACTGAGTTTCTGTCACCACTTCCCTATGTACACAGACAGGGTGATAGTCATTGTACTCTTTTCAAATATCACAGACAAAAGGGAAGTTGAGGTGACCACTCAGTACCCCTCGCCTAGGACAAAAATGATCATATCACACACGTAATATATATAGTTCTTTTTTTTTCTAATGCTCACTTGCAATGGAAAATTTGTATTTCCTCTGTGAGAATATTGCAGGTTTTATCGCCAGTCAGGTGCTCTGTAAATATTCTGCGTAATTTACTTCCATTGTCTTGTACCTTTCACCACAATAAGCAGCATACTGTAAATTACTATTAATTAGGAAAAATCTGTTGATGATACTTTGTACCAGTCAGAAAACTCCATAATCACCCCAAATTGTCACTTGTTCCTTATTTTGAACTTCATTGTTTGTTTGTTTTTAAATTACTCAGTAATGCTGTCAACTATATGTTTGAATGTCAATGTGATCTGAAAAACACATTTAATTCAATATCACCTTGATGGCAATACACCTGTGATGTGATATCTAAAGTGTATGGAGTAGGTACCATTAAGCATCACTCACTTTAAAATATGTTAGTAATTTTTACAGAAATAAAACTGCTTTTTACAGTAAAAATGCTACAGTAAAAAGCTTATTAAAAATAAAAATTGTAAAAATTATAAATGGTTTAACTTCACATTATATGTAATTTTACTGTAAAATACTGTCAAATGTGTGTGTTTTGGGATATAAAAACTATGTATTACCATATAACTTACAGTAAAATAACAAATAAAAAGTCACAGTAAAAGGACCTTCCCAGAAGTCCCTGTATGACACATACCATATGATTATGTTATTTAAATATTTTTGTTTCTTCTTGGTTTTGTTATTAGTAATGTACATTCAGGTGTTTTGTATAACACTTTCTGTTATTTAATTAAGGTTTATAACATTATTTTAGCATTTGTGAATGACCCATGGCCAAGTGAACAGGCCATTCGATCAACTCTTGATTCATCGTGTGGCTTTCTGTTAAACCTCCTATATTATTATGGTGGTATTAGTACATTTTAATGTAAAAAGCAGATTTAGTACAAGTCATTTTGTATATTGACATTACAGTTTTTTTACAATCACTATAGGACACTTTTCTCAATATTCGGGACTCTTTTTCAAAAGTCTTCACACAGTAGCACAACATCAATGTGGGCTAAACTGTGGATTACTGTATTTATCATTGCATTGGCACAACGTGCATTCAGTGACTACATCTTTCAAATGACAAACAAATGACAAACACCACCAAAACTACAGGCCAATTTGCACGTTTACATACTCTTTTCAAATCCTAACAAAATATGTTTAAATCCTAAAAATAATACAAAATTGAATAAGGCAGCAATTTGCCTCATTTCTACAGTAATACCATATTGAAATATATTCAGAAAAAAAGAAAGACAAATAAAACAAAATTTTCAAAACTCTTCAAATTTTCAAAAAAAAACAAAGTATCCTATTCAATACACATAATATGTGTTTCGTCTGTATCAACTATTCATTCACAGTAACTGCCTTTAATGTAATCAATATCAAACTTTTGCCTGATAATTTGTAAGTTACAAACTGCTGTAAGAGCTTTCATTCAAGAAAGACCAAATACTAATTGTTTTCACCTGATGATCACAATTAGATACCATTAAAGTAGAAATGTATGTGAGATTTTGCAATGTTCAAACATGGAGCAGGATAGACTCGTAGAGAGAGGAAACCTGCATCAAAGAGGTGGTGGTGCTCCTCATCAAAGAGGTGGTGGTGCTTCTCGACAAAGAGGTGGTGGTGCTCCTCGACAAAGAGGTGGTGGTGCTCCTCGACAAAGAGGTGGGGGTGCTCCTCGACAAAGAGGTGGTGGTGCTCCTCGACAAAGAGGTGGTGGTGCTCCTCGACAAAGAGGTGGTGGTGCTCCTCGACAAAGAGGTGGTGGTGCTTCTCGACAAAGAGGTGGTGGTGCTTCTCGACAAAGAGGTGGTGGTGCTCCTCGACAAAGAGGGGGTGTTGCTTCTCGACAAAGAGGTGGTGGTGCTCCTCGACAAAGAGGTGGTGGTGCTCCTCGACAAAGAGGTGGTGGTGCTCCTCAACAAAGAGGTGGTGATGCTCTCGACAAAGAGGTGGTGGTGCTCCTCAACAAAGAGGTGGTGATGCTCTCGACAAAGAGGTGGTGGTGCTCCTCGACAAAGAGGTGGTGTTGCTTCTCGACAAAGAGGTGGTGGTGCTCCTCGACAAAGAGGTGGTGGAGCTTCTTGACAAAGAGGTGGTGGTGCTCCTCGACAAAGAGGTGGTGGCGCTCCTCGACAAAGAGGTGCAAAGAGGTGGTGGTGCTCCTCGACAAAGAGGTGGTGGAGCTTCTTGACAAAGAGGTGGTGGTGCTTCTTGACAAAGAGGTGGTGGTGCTCCTCGACAAAGAGGTGGTGGCGCTCCTCGACAAAGAGGTGCAAAGAGGTGGTGGTGCTCCTCGACAAAGAGGTGGTGGCGCTCCTCGACAAAGAGGTGGTGGTGCTCCTCGACAAAGAGGTGGTGGTGCTCCTCGACAAAGAGGTGGTGGTGCTCCTCGAAAAAGAGGTGGTGGCGCTCCTCGACAAAGAGGTGGTGGTGCTCCTCGACAAACAGGTGGTGGCGCTCCTCGACAAAGAGGTGGTGGTGCTCCTCGACAAAGAGGTGGTGGTGCTCCTCGACAAAGAGGTGGTGGTGCTCCTCTGGCCCATCATTGTTGGCCATGTGGTTAACAGAGGCCTTATCATGGCAGAGGCTGCCAGGTTAGTTCAGCCTAACTAACAAAGGTTTGTTAGCTCTATCATCAGAACTTTTCGCCAAGAAAACCGGTAAGTAACCAGTAAGTAACGATTCCCTATACTTTTACAATATAGTACTGTAAATGGCATTACTGTATAGAAGAACAACATAGAGTCACAGTTTATGTCATTTATAGTAATAAAAGATTGACAGCATACTACTTTACTCTCAGAATTAACAGGAGACAACCTGGTGGTGGTCGGCCACGTGTTCTGAGAACTTCTGACTGACCAGCAGGAGTTGGCTGTGGTGAAAATGGTCAGGGCAAGGAATGACATACGGCTGACTGAAATCAACCAGCCTATAGAGGAGAGCAATGACACCTTTGCCAATGTGGTATCAATTAGCCTTCCAACTATTGCCCGCCTTTTGAAGAAGCACTTTTCATGTGAAACAAATTTACCTGGTGCCTTTTGAGAGAAACCATGCCCAGGTGAAACAA